CGGATGGTTGTGACTCACCCTGTGGTTGCTGGGATTTGAACTCATGACCTCCAGAAGAGCAGTCAGTGCTCTTAATCACTGAGCCATCTCACCAGCCCTAGCATTTATTGATCTACATCCTTGTCTACAAGTGATAATTCTTATATTCAACCTTGCTAGAGGGATTTTCATATGAAACAGTTCAAATATTAGTTATTATACATATTATACATTAATATATTTTCAAAGGATATTACACATTACAAAGGAAAGCCCATACTCTGTTAATTTTTAGAGGACTTTTGGGTGATATATATATGTATGTAAGTATATGTATATATGTATGTATATATGATAATATATTTGTACATATATGATTTAAAAAATTGTGAATGGACACATTCTATGACATATTTGAGGGTACATTTTTAGGCTCTAAATTTATCTTAAAGCTTCTAAGGAAAATTCTATGAAGATCTTTTAGGATTTATTCATTTTTATGTGTAAGAGTGTTTTGTCTGCATGTGTATAAGTGCACCATGTGTTGTTCCTGGTGCCCACAGAAACCAGAAAAAGGAACTGGATCCCCTGACTGGATCCAGCTGCCACATGCATGTTGGGAAACCAAACCCAGGTTCTCTGCAAGAACAGTACCTGCTCTTAACTTCCTAACCATCTGTGCAGCCCACAGTGAAACATTTTGTATTCACTATAGCAAGAGATACTATGAAATTAAATACTATGTATTTAAAGCAATTTTGCACTATGCAATTTTAAAATTTTCTTCAAATTGAATCATTTTGGCCATCAATATAAGTTTTATTTTCTTCTGAGGGTTATCTGTTGTTATGGAAGTTATTAGGGTAAATTGGCAGCCATACCTGTCATTGAGCTGTCACACATCCACAAATTGAATTGTTCCATGTATTGATTAGAGCCATCTTCAGAGTGTGACGTGTGGGTTTGAGACTGGTGACTTTGCACTCACTCACATGCCTCATTTGATGCTTTTCTCCACTTTATCTGAGTGTCTTCTATGCACCTCCACTCTGCTCAGACTTTGCAAGCAATTTTCATTATTGCTGAAATCTAATTAACAAACTGTGGTCATTTTTAGGCTCCTGCATTACAATATGGGCCATAATAACAGCACTGGGGCAAAACATTGTAGTAATCAGAGTTCTGTACAGGAACAGAACTGGTGGAATAAACATTTATTGCAAAAGGGTATTAATTAGATGCAATTCTGTGATATGGGTGGGGTGTCCAACAATGTCTGCCTATGCTTTGGTGAAATAGACAGCCCAGTACCTACTCAGTCCGTGATATGGATTGTTCTGTAGTTTCCATTAGACACAAGAGGTTCGAGGATTTCCAGCTTGTTGCTGGCTTTCAGTTCATATTGAAATACCAAAGAACTGAGTTCAGGTTGCCAGAAAGGATGGTAACAGCAGCAGCTGCTGCTGAAAAGTAGATGCACACACCAAAAAGGAAAAAAAAGTCAAGCATAGGAAACAGGACTTAATAGCTAGAGTGCCAATCGAAGGTATCTTTCACTCTGGGATAGTTCCTTCCCCTTCAGTTAAATGATCCAGAAGATACCTTGTAGACTCATAGAGAAGCATATCTCTTAGCTCCCAGATTCTGTCAAGTTGACAACCAAGATTAACCACTACACAAATAAAACAAACCATTGTCATTCAAAAGAATGAGATATTTGTTGAATAGATATTAACAACATCTATCAGGGTTATCAACTTTAATTTAGTAGAATTTCATTGTAGTAATATAACAGAGGGTTTTATGAATATGAATGTAACTCATTACACAATTCTTTTCCTTCTGAGTCATAGTAATTATCTGACAGAATTGGAATCTAGTAATTATGGAATCATAAGACTGATGATCTACTAAGAATGTTTACTTTTTAATGGCTAATTGTTGTTTTATTCTCTCAAGAAATAACTATTATAATTAATATCTACCCTCTTGAACCCATATAAAACAATCTTAGAATCATGAATATAGAGCATATTGAAAAATCCTGTTTATATAATCCTGGTTATTCAATAATAACAAACATATCAAAAGCTTGCTATTATCTGTTATTCTTATTATCAGTTTCCTAGATTTCATTTAGTAGCTGATGATCAGATAAAATTTAGGCCACCCATGACTATAGTGACTTTCAGATCACTGTAAGAAACAAAACAAAACAAAAACAATCAACCAACCAATCAAAACAAACAACCTGTCAGAAAAAGGTTTTGCAGTATTGCTTTGTCTTCCTCTGGATAGAGCTGACTCTGTAGATGCCTTCCCAGAATCCTCTCTGCTGTCAGTGAGCGCCTCCAGCTACCTAAATGGTCTTACAGATACCTACTGACTTAATCTCTTCCAGATACTTTGATTTTACATCAAAAAACAGCAGTAACCAAAGCTCAAGGGGTATAAGAAGGAAGTTCTATACAAAAAAGAGTTAGAAATGCTTCAACTACCCATTGAACAAGTTTCTTTTGAAAATCTGGGAAGACTGAAATTGGTAAATTGGGTATGGTTGCACCTCATATCCAAGAGAGAAAGGCATCAGAATTCAATGAGAAAAGAAACTTTAAAAGAGTAGTGAACTGTGGAGAGCTTCTTAGCTGGACTTTATCTTTGTTCCAAAGAAACAAGGAAAGGCATGGATTTTTGCTGAAGTGCCTCTTGGTGATCTTTAAGAACAACTTGTGTGATGAGTCAGGGCTTTCTTCTAACCTGACCTTTTCTTTTTGGTGTGTGACTCTACAGTGTGTTCAATCATATTTATAATATATACTCAGAATTGTGTGTTTTTTCTAATTTGTATGTACAAAATCTACATTATCTTTCAAGTTTCAAATACTTAGGTAGAAGTCTATCCAGGAATTGAGATGTGGTAAAGTAATAATTTACTTTTAATTGAAGTCACTTCTAACTTTTTATACAGTAGCTAACATTTCTGGTTTAGTCTTAGGATTTTTTTCTTATTTTTTCCCCTCACTAATCTTTTGGGCTAAATATAGTCTATATTAGGGGTAGAGTAGATACTAAAATCTGACCAAGCCTGCTAGCAACTTATTTTCAATACAATGAAACGTCTGGGTAAGCAATTAAATTATACTGATTGGTATTATAAATTATGGTTCAGGAAAACAGTTTTTGAGACATGATGTCCAGTCTTATTTTTATTTTTCAAATATGTTAGAAAAAACATATGTAATAAGAACTGCTTATGTAAGACATGATGTCCAGTCTTATTTTTATTTTTCAAATATGTTAGAAAAAACATATGTAATAAGAACTGCTTATGTAAAATTACATATGTAATAAGAACTGCTTATCCCTTTAGTGAAGCTGATATTACTCTGTAACCCCATTGTGCTCTTGAGACATAAAGCAAATTCACAGCTTGCAAAATATATTTTAAAATACAGAGGTTTTCCATAGCCTACTTGATACATTTTATAAACACAAAAGAGTAATTGATCTGACTCTGTAATGATGACCAAAATTTGATGTTTGGTTTGGATGCTAAATAAAAAAAATCTCAGGAATTTTAGAAGTTCAAACTGTTGCTTATTGAAGTGGTATTTGGTCACTGCAAATCTTCTTGGCTGCTCTTCCTTGTGATGCCTCTTTTACGACAATGCCCTCCCTGCATGTAGTCTCTGGACTGCTGTTCTGACTGTGGTGGCATCCTGTAATGATGCAGAATTTTCAGTGAGGGAAAACATTTAACTGCACTCTCAAGTTTTCCTACTGAATCTGTACAAGAGAAATGACGTATTCGCTCAGAATTGGAAGCCCCTTCAGTGTCTTGCATTCACTGATGAACTGAAGACCACGAGAAATATGACTGTTTTATTCACTCAGAGGAAATATGTTAAAAGAAATTAAACAAGAAACGAGACACCTCTCAGCAAAGAAAAAAAAAACATTAGAATTTCACCACAGTTCTAGAATTCACTGGATAAATTTACCTTGCTATCGGAATGCTGCCCCAGACAATGAAAGCACTGTAAACGCTAAGGTTAAATGCGTGCCTGAGAGGAAAATTATAGCAGACAGAGAAACATTGCAGACTTCCAAATTTTAAAGGCATTAACCATTAAGGATAAACACATACTTCGCTCATTTCCTCAGATTAGGTATGGCATTTTAGAAAGGTGCACACTTTCTTTATTCTACCCATCAAAGTTCAGGAATCCCACTTCCCATCTGTGTGTAGTCACGCAGGGTACTTGATCTTTAGCACAACTGGTGAGTATTTGCACAACTTAAATTAGAGTACTGAGTGCACTTGGTAATAAATATCTTGTAGTAAGCCTGTCTACGTTTTGGTGGTAAAGGAGTAAAAGTTAAGAATGATAATACTATATATAAGATATTTCTATTTCAGCTAATGATTTAATCAGAAATAAATATATATATTTCTGTTTAAATCTTTTCTGCAGATAATTAAATTAGAGCTATCTAATTCCCATTTCTAAATTATCACTATTGCTCTTTCTTTGGAGTAGAATATATTTGCTAATGATTCGTTGTCTACTTTTTTTTTTTTGCTTTAAAATAGCCAGTTGTCATAGAGAATCAATAAACTTACTCCAATTTTAAAATTGTCTTTTCAGTTTTTAAGAAGTAAATTTTAATGACTTTCAAAAGCTAGAAATAATCTCAAGTATGGAACTGAGTCATACCAAGTTAATTTGCTACAACCTGAGACTTAATAAAGAAGTGTATTGAATGCATTCCACCAAAAAGACCTAAAACATTTCTGTATGGCTGGGTGGCAGGGTTTTCAGCCTGTTACTTGAAAACTGGCTTTTATCCTCCCTGGAACTGTACACCCCATATATCACTGTTGTATGTTACATGCATGGCTATAAAATTGCGAAAATGGAGGCTTTTCTGGTAGCAAAAGGGTTAACTTCTTTTTGCTTTACCAGTTTCAAATTACAATGAGAAGCCTCTTCTTTCCCAGCAGGGTTGTGCTTACATTTCTCTTTAGATCTCTCTTGAAGAGGGCTGGTATATTTGTGCCTGCTGGAGGTGGAATTAACTGTAAGAAGGAGGAAGAGATTGAATGGATTTACAGGAAGGATTTCAAGTAAATTCAGGGAAACACATTTACTTGAACAGTATAACCTTGGGTCTTGTTTTACACTAAGACCATACAAAAGATGTTCAAGTTATCACTAGGCTGCCGGACAAATATAATTCCATCACCAAGGTGCAGATCAGCGTAGATCTGTGATTCAGACCTCAGGATTTGTTTTGGAAAGAGTTCAAGCGTTGAGAAGAAGTCAGAGCAAGTGAAGAGAACTTGGGAGCTACAGTCTATCAGAAGACCAGCTTTCGTCAGTTCAAATACCAAAGGCCTGATTATCATAAATTCACATAGGAATGCATAGGTTATTTGATCAAATAATTTTAGCCAGCTTTTGCTCCATCAACACCGCAAAAGTTCTTAACAACTGTGGATAATTAGAAATCTGAATTTCAGTTTTCTTAGAAATAACTACTCTTGTCGTGTTCTAAGATATTTAAAGCAGGAGAAGAAAATGGACTGAGGGTGCCGTGTTCAGAAATGTCACTGTCATGAAGAATAGGTAAACTTGTTTTTACAGCTACTGGCGAAGTGTACCTCCAAGGAACCTGGATTATTATTACTTTTTTCCAACTGGACAAGAAGGATTAAAAATATCGACTTTTGCTTTTATACAAAAATGCATTGGACTGTCTTTTTACTTAGGGGTATTGTAGGCTTCCTCTGGAGCGGCTGGGTTCAAGTAGGTTATGCAAAAGGAGGCTTGGGAGACAATCACGTTCACTCCAGTTTTATTTATAGAAGACTACGGAACCATGAAAGACGGGAAATACAGAGGGAAATTCTCTCTATTTTGGGTTTGCCTCACAGACCCAGGCCCTTTTCACCAGGGAAACAAGCATCTTCTGCACCCCTCTTTATGCTGGATCTGTACAATGCCATGGCTAGTGAAGAAAATCCTGAGGAGTCAGAATATTTGGTGAGGGTATCCCTGGCTGGAGATGCCAAAGAGACAAGAAAGGGATACCCAGCCTCTCCCAACGGGTTTGCGCATCGTCTGCACTTACCTCCAAGGATTCCTCTGACCACCCAGAGCCCACCTCTCGCCAGCCTACATGATACCAACTTTCTGAATGATGCTGACATGGTCATGAGCTTTGTCAACTTAGGTATGTTGTTCGTTTATTTGTTCATCTGTGTTATTATAAAGAGGAAGTTTTTCTAATGTTAAAGTAGCTTCTTGGTAGGTGGCCATGTTTATACATTTATTCTATAAAACTCCCTTCCATAGCTTTGTTTCATTTTTTACATAGTTATATGATTTTGCTTTATGCTACAAAGTTACATATATTTGACATGGAAAGCTAAAATTAAATGGCCACAATTTGGATAGAATTTGGTCCTTTGAGAGCTTATTAAAATTTAATTTAAAGATGTGCATAAAAGGCAATCCTGTAAAAAGGGAAATTTATTAGGACAGCAATGCTTTGGGCAAAAAGGAAAAGAAAGAAAATAACAAACAAACCAAGGAGCCAGTGTTTATGTGTGAGAAAATAAAACTAACTTTCCAAACCAATTTTTTTGTTAGTGATTTAAAGAGCATATGAATACATAATTATATGCTACTTAAAAATTCTCATCTAGTGGGAAAAATCTCTAAATAAAATCAACTAAGATCAAATGAACTGTAAAATATTAACAATCACGGGACTTCAATGAAAAAAAAACATAGTTTAGAAAAGAAGTTTCAGCCCTACATTCCTTAAGTGTTAATGACTGAAATATAAGCATATCTAGTTGATGTTTGACGTAGGCAAGATAAATGTCAAATTTGATTTGATGATATTTCTCTATACCAAAGTCTCCTCTGAGATAAAAGTTTCTTAGTTGATAATTCCTATAAACATCAACAAAGAAAATGGGGAAAATGTCTTAAAATTATATTTCACTCAGTACTGGTGCTTCATGGTAATTTTTAAACATTGTCAAGGTCTTAAAATTATATTTCATTCAGTACTGGTGCGTCATGGTAATTTTTAAACATTGTCAAGCTCAAAAGGAAGATCACTACTGAATATTTCCTCTCACAAGAATAGTAAATAGCCTACCTACTTAAAATGATTTTACAAGGGCTCTTTTAACTTAAAATACTGTAGTATAAACTAAAGATAAATTGGCTATCTTTAGATGTTTAAAGGAAAGTAACATTAAACATGATTTAGTTTTAAGACTTAAAATTTAACCAACAAATTTAATAAACTTTAAAGAATCAAGAACCTTATAAAGTAAAACTTTTAAAATTTTTTGTTGAAAATGCAATCTGGGTTGACTTCAAGATATTTTACTCTATGCCTAGCAAAAATATCCTTGCATACTATCTCAAAGGAAATATTTTTTTTTGAGAAGTCAGATAGCAGCCAGTCTTGATGACATGTGGCCAGGCTTGTAATGTATGTTTCTTAATATGCTGTGGTCATTTACTCTCAGCAGCCCTGGACACAGGAGAAGGGGCTTACTAAATCATGTGCTTTGTGTTACCAGGGACAAAACTCTTAGCCCTGAGCTTTAGAAAGCCTTTGTGGTGCTCTGCAGGTCAGGTGCTCTGCAGGTCTTCTGCATGACACTTCCTTTTGTACATATAATGAGCAGGCTTCTGTGAGAGCAAATAAAACTTAGTTTACAATTGGTGTGATTGTTTCTTCTTAGTGTCAGGGGCATGAAAATATTTCTCACAGTACCCTTTACTCTGCAGCTTTTCCAGTCAAGCACATGAATGTCAGAAGGAAAGCTTTCATTCAGCATAAATAAATGCAGAGCACAAAATTGCTACATGTAGATGTAGGCATCTTACATGACTTAGACCATGTGAGTATCTAAATATAAAGCAAAACCCACTGTCTCACCTTTAAATTAGTTTAGTGATTTGTTCACTTTAGAGAAACAAATCTAAACGATTAGACTAACTTTACTTATGAATTTATGCCATCAAACATATGACAAAGGAGAACTTATGACTAAGAAATAATAGCTCAGACATTTGTCTGTCTTAATAACATATTTCATTAAGCTGAATCTTTTGCTCATTTGTAATAGGTATTCTTATTTTAAAAAATTATTAGGTTTTTGAAGTTGTATGCCATTATTTTCAATAAATGTAGATAAAGTAAGAAAACAAACAGGAAAGAGTTTATTCAATGATTTCCAGAACCCTGTTTTACCATTAAGTAATATTTTTCCTTTTAAATCACTGACATTTTTCTTGTGTTAGTCATAATATGATGATACAGATGTTTACAAGCTCGTTACTTACGTCAACATAGAATTATTTATTTTATTCTGGGGAAATAATATTAGATTTAAACTTCAGAAACTTTACTTATTTCGATCATGCTCGAATAGGTGGTTAGTGATGTTTTCCTCAATAACAAATAATATGCTTTTTCTTTATTAGTAATCTCTAACTAAATGGCTCATAAGAATTTACTAGAAAATGAATTCTGATTCTGGATGAGTTTCTTGTAGTTGTGTTGAAGTAAAGCTGAGCTACAATTTGATTACTCTTAGAACATGCCCACTCATGTAACCGGGTGTCATAACCAATCACTATGTAGCATTAAACTCACTCCTGTGTTTCTTCCATGCATCTGACAAATCAAGGCACACTTGGAAAGGTAAATGTGTAATACCATTATAAACTGAACAAAAATCTCTCATGTTCTAATGTTTCACACTGTTATGGAGCTCAAGAGCAATTTATTTTTGCAGTATCTCAAAAAACATCTATGTATGGAGACCAAGTCCAAATGAGTTCAGTGGGTAGTGTAGTGGTAGGGGTGTGTTTGGAGGAAGGCACCTGGATGTGTAAGTACGTGGACAACATCTGTAACATGTCTCATAGCTAATTCAACTTAATCCAGATTCTGAATCATACCCAACAGAAATTTTAGTTTTAAATTTCCTTGTGAATTAGTGTTGTGTTCAAAGGTGAAAAAAGATTATAATTTAGGAAAAGATAAAAATGAAATGTAAGTAACAGGACTTGGGTTATGTAAGCATCTACATATAGACCAAACTCATTATTTTTATCTTTAAATTATTTTAGCAACTGGTTCACTTCATAGAGACAAAGCTAAATGGTTTGATCACATTTTGGTTTTGTTGTAGTAAGAGACAAGCTAACCCCCTACTCTCAAATGATTGAATATCAGTCAGAATTTTGTTGAATTTGGAGAACAAAATATTATCTTTCGGGTAATTTTTTTTTGCTTTTTATATCTCTTTTTCCTAAGTGTTTACTTGGTTTATGCATTAAGTTCTTAAGCAAATGAACAATTAGATTGTGCACCATTCATATTTTAGCACAATTCCAGTCACATAAAGATATGGCTGTGGGATATTTAAAAATTAAAAAACAATATTTTATTTAATTATTTAATGATACTAAATAATATTGTGTTATTTATTGCCTACATATATTTTTCTGAAAGTAAAAATTCACATTTTGTTTATTAGTTATTTTTTGGCTCATTGATGCATTGATTTTAATTCCTTTTTATATATCTTTTAAAAATATATACTAATGTGTAAGTATAAAGCATATAGATATAACTTTTAAGGTTTTCATGATTTAGAACATGTGTACCATGTTAGATATGAAAGGAAAAGTACAGGAAGAATAACTTAAGGCTCCCTTAGTAAAATCAATAAACTGTCCTCATACTGAAAAAATATAATGCTTATATCCTCATCTATGTTATGTCTGCTTTTGACTGATTTGAGTGTTCAGTGGAGGGGAATTAACATAAATATCAATAAAGGTGCTATTTAAGGCTTGGAGTCTCTGCAACAGAGTTATTAACAGGTGTAATATAAACATATCCATAAACATACAAATTATTTTGATGTAAATGATGGGTTTGAGAAAAAAGATGATTTGAAACCACTGTAGCACCTATCCACAGATTTTGTCTGAAATAAGAGATATCCATACTGCGCCAAACAACAATCATTCTTTAAATTTTTTCCCCTCTGTTTGAAGGAAAAAATAATTGCTTAGGACAAAACCATTTCCCTGTTCATCAATGATAATTCTCATTTATAATCAAGACAGATAGATTATGGGTCTTAAAGCTACTTTATTGCCAAATGACTGGTGCAGCTGCAGGAGGGAGATTACTATAAACATAGTTTAATAAAAAAAATTATATCTTAATGGTCGCCTACCAAATAGTCAGTTTCAAAAGTCTAATGACAAGTTACTGTGGACTTAGGACGGAATGGGCATACAGATAGGAGGAGCTGGGAAGGCTCCAAGCCCCACCTCTAGCTCTGTACTCTCTCCCTGTCTATAATTACACACTCTTTCCTCTCCCCCCAACCCAGCTCCAACTCTTAACTCTCCCCTTTTTAGTTCTCTGGTTTCTGGAGCCCCAGGCTCTCTCGGCATGCGGTCTTTACCGCTCCCACCCTTCCTGTGATTTGCCTTCGGTCCTACTTTCTTTATAAGTACAAGCTTAGATTAGTTGAAAATCAATTAGTTCCAGTTTGAGAGCCTAGGTATGGCTCAGTAGATGAGAAGGAAAAGATACTGATGTGTTGGTCGCCGCCTCCACCCACAGGGAGGAGAGCACCCCAGGGCATGAGAATCCTTCAACTCCTGCTGTCTCCTGCAATGGTTTTTCCCACACTCCACTTCTCCCCGCCTCCTTTTCTACCCTATTTGAGGGTCCCTTTGACAAAACTTAATTGGCGTGTTTTGACTTTACTATTCTTAAAGATAATTAAAAATTTAAAGGAAAAAAATTAGAACAAAGTAAAAGGTTAGAAAGACTACAGCACTGAAGAAAACGAATTCAGCATTCAGTCCCCTTTCTGTTCTCCTTAATTAAGACCAGTGCCACTAACATTAAAAATATCTCCTCTATCAAATTCTCAAGAGGTGATAATGCACTGGATTAAGGCAATGTAGATAAGGCTGATAAATAAAACACTTTTAAGAAAAGTACCAAAAAAGATAGGGAAAAGCTGGTCTTTGAGATGTACAGGTGGGCAATGCTCTTCGAAATCCTCTGTCTGCCTCATGATGGCACAGCAGCTGATGTAGCATCTCAACCACATTAGCTCTAGCCAAAAGCCCTTTCATCCTTCTACATTAAACTACTGACTTGGG